CTTTGATTTGGTGGCAGTTCAGAGTTGCTCAGGGCTGGTTTCGGGCGAGTGTTGTGCTTGCTGAGGTCTTATATAATGATTTGACCCGAGGTTTTTACCTGTAAACCTTCAAATTCTCGAGACGGTTCTGCCACATTGCCACAATCTCACCAAGGACCAAAGCAAATTGACCGCATCTGACCTTTTGGTTTCCTCATTTTGGCAACCATCTTAGTGGTTTTCTGAAAACCAACCATCCTCGAGGAAAACCAGAAGAAGAAAGAGCAAGAGCAATGCAATGCCCCAGACAAAAGGTATTGGTTATGACCAAACATGTTCCTCAGGACTTTGTGCATTCGCTTGATTTTTTTGGTTTCTTCGAGTTTGTTGGGTTTTTCAAAGTCAGGCCTTTTGGTATGTGGCACAACCAAAATATCCCTCGAGATTGTATGGCTTTTGTTTTGTTGGTTTTCTTCGAGCTTTTTTGTTTTCGAAATAGCAGGCCTTTTGGGTACTGGGCATGACCAGAACATGTCCGTTAGGATTTGTTTGGCTTTCTCCGAGTTGTTTTTTCCAAAACACCTGCCACTCAGACAGTTGGTTTCTGTTTTCAACATGTACCGTGAAGACAGGGTGCCATTCTCAGTCATTTCCTCAGTGCTAGCTTCTTATGTTAGGGCTTGCTTTGGAGGGGCTGGTAATGATTTCGGCGGGCTGCAAGGATCGTGTGAACGGAGTATACGTTTGCACTTCTGAGTTTCAAGCTTGCCCACCGCAATATTTTGCTCGTGCACGGACGTACTGTGTCCTCAACCATATTACGGCAGCCTTTGCAGCGTGGGCTCCTACTCATGCGACGTTTGCCATGAGGGTAGAAGGCTTATGGAGCCGGCCAAAGTCTTTCCAGCTACCAGCATTTTGTTGGGAAACATGCTTGCAGGTGATTCGTCGTGGTTGTTGCGGCAGGGTTTCGTCTTGGCCAGGTGGCTGCAAGCTTGTCTACCAGGCCAGGGCACTGCTGGCCCCGAATTGGAATTGGAGGGTAAGTAGATGTAACTAGTTGCTACTTCTAAGTATTGGTAGCATCTAGACAAAATAGATGAAGGCTGGAGGTATCTTGAATTTCCATGTATTAGTTCCATTTTCAAGTTTTCGATTCTCAGGGTCTTATGGCGCTAGGGCATACAGGGCATCGAACCCGACAGCGCCGGGACAATGGCTGAGGGCTGCTCCATATTGTTATCGGATTCCGAGCCATAGCTAGGATCCATTGCAGCCTAGGGACTAGTGACTGAACAAAATTTATGACAAGTGACTAGCGGCTATCAAGCACTAGGCCATATCCTTCGCAGTGACTCCCCTTAAGTGACCCCATCTCTTTGCCCTATACGAGGGGTGTTCAAGAGGCCTTGTGTTTCCTGTTTATGCCTGCATCTGGGTCAATGTTGTTGGGTTCCTCGAGGTGATGCCTATGGGTTGGACAGAAAGAGGACATGTGTTGGCAACTACCTTGACCTTGATACAACTTGTGGAGTGCAATTTCCCACCAATCAACAAGAACTCTGGTTGGTTTTGCACAGGCAATGTAACCACCAAGTCTTCAAGTGAGCCACCATCGAAACCCGAGTGGATGAAGGTTAGTATGGGTGAGTCCCAACCGTGAATAATATATATATATATGTATCTAGTACGGAAGCCTTTTTGTTTAATTTGTTTTGATTGTTGGGATACACCGGTTTTTAATACCAGGTTTTGATTTTGACAGTTGCTCCGCCGTTCCTTGCTTGCCAGTGGCTGGCGCGGCGTGGTGTGGACCTTCGCCAACTTCCCACTCTTGGGCACCGCTGCGGGCCAGGCGAGGAATGACTTGCCGGGGATCTGAAGACGTTGTCCGGGTTCCCGGATTCGTTTTTACTTGGGTCATCCTTTGGTCGTCCTTTGGTCATCCTTCGTTCATCCTTTGATTACACTTTGGTCATTTCTTGGTGATTTCTTGGTCAGTTCTTGGTCCTCCTTTAGTTGCACGTTGGTCATTTTTGGGTTACACTTGGTCATGTTTCGGTCATCCTTTGGTTATCCATTGGCCATCCTTCGTTTTTGGTTTGGTCTTTGTTTGTTGCACTTGTCATTCGTTTGGGATTCCTGTGGTTATTTGTTGGTCATCATTTGGTTGTTATTTGGTCATTATTTGGTCATTAGTTGGTCATTTGTTTGGTTATTATTTGGTCATATGTTGGTCATCCATTGATTACTCTTTGGTTTTTCCTTGGTTACAGTTTGCTCATCCTTAGATCGATAGTAGGTTATCATTTGGTCATCCTTTGGCTTTCGATTGAAACACTAACTTGTGTTTGGAGACCAACACAAAGTAGATTACTGTTGTCAGGGTCAGCACAGCAATCCAATCACCGCAAATCTGCGAAGTTGTAGCGACCTCACAAGGACTTTTCAGTTTTGCGATGCAATCGCAGATGGAGGTTCTCCTCATAGAAATCCCTTTGCCAAGTCGGAGAATGTAGCA